TACCATTTCGCAAACCTGACTTAAATTCGATTAAATATTAATATAAATTATGAAACATTGTGGAGCCACCAATTTGGGGCTCCACTTGTACAAAGGGCTCCACTTTGTTTGTGTATGTCTGGTTACTGGCTCTACTTCTACGTCTACACCAACACACACACACACACACACACACACTGGAGTAGACATAAATACCATAGTGTAGACACACACACTGGAGTAGACATAAATACCATAGTGTAGACACACACACACTGGAGTAGACATGAATACCATTGTGTAGACACACACACACTGGAGTAGACACAAATACCATAGTGTAGACACACACTGGAGTAGACATGAATACCATAGTGTAGACACACACACTGGGGTAGACACAAATACCATAGTGTAGACACACACTGGAGTAGACACAAATACCATAGTGTAGACACACACACACTGGAGTAGGCATGAATACACATGTGATGTAGACACACACATACTGTGATGTAGACACACACATATGTGGTGTAGACACACACATACTATGATGTAGACACACACATACTGTGATGTAGACACACACATACTGTGGTGTAGATACACACATATGTGGTGTAGACAAATGCATACTGTGGTGTAGACACACACATACTGTGATGTAGACACACACATGTGTGGTTTAGACAAATGCATGTGATGTAGACACACACATATGTGGTGTAGACAAATGCATGTGATGTAGACACACACATATGTGGTGTAGACAAATGCATGTGATGTAGACACACATATGTGGTGTAGACAAATGCATGTGATGTAGACACACATATATGTGGTGTAGACAAATGCATGTGATGTAGACACACACATATGTGGTGTAGACAAATGCATGTGATGTAGACACACACATGTGGTGTAGACAAATGCATGTGATGTAGACACACACATGTGGTGTAGACAAATGCATGTGATGTAGACACACATATATGTGGTGTAGACAAATGCATGTGATGTAGACACACAGACATATGTGGTGTAGACAAATGCATGTGATGTAGACACACACATGTGGTGTAGACAAATGCATGTGATGTAGACACACATATGTGGTGTCAACAAATGCATGTGATGTAGACACACATATATGTGGTGTAGACAAATGCATGTGATGTAGACACACATATATGTGGTGTCGACAAATGGATGTGATGTAGACACACACATATGTGGTGTAGACAAATGCATGTGATGTAGACACACACATGTGGTGTAGACAAATGCATGTGATGTAGACACACACATATGTGGTGTAGACAAATGCATGTGATGTAGACACACACATATGTGGTGTAGACAAATGCATGTGATGTAGACACACACATATGTGGTGTAGACAAATGCATGTGATGTAGACACACACATATGTGGTGTAGACAAATGCATGTGATGTAGACACACACATGTGGTGTAGACAAATGCATGTGATGTAAGACACACACACATATGTGGTGTAG